GCAAAAGAGAAATAAATGCCAGAGAGTTTACAAAAATTATTAAAATGTTATAATTATTATTAATAATTATTAAATTACCTAATAATTATTAAAGTACCTTTCAAAAAATTCGAGAAGAATTTCCAGTGAAATTATAGAAAAATAGAATTTATAAAAATTCGAATGAATGGAAAACTTCAAAACATTTAATTTTATGGCAATGAAACAATTTTTTTCTCATAAAAATGTCTTTTTTTTAAATAAAAAATTAATTCATTTAGTCGGATGTAATCTTTTTTTATAATAGATGCAGGGATTACAGTGGATTTTCGTGTAATATAAGGTAGAAAAGGAGATTTTTATTTTAAAAAAGCAGAATCTGTTTTAAAAAAAGAGAAGAGAAAAAATTATATTGTAGTATAGCGAACATGTTTTTTAAAAAAATATTCTGCCTTTTCTCTTTACTACTCAACTTTTTTAAATCAGACTTTTTTGTTTAATTTTTTTCTGTTAATTATTAGTATTGTTTTTTTTATATCTTTTTCTCTAGTCTGCAATTTTTTAAAATTTTATAAACAAAATTTTCGTTAGAACGATACTTTTGTGTTTTAAAATTCTATAAGTTTTGTTATATCTAAAGTCATAACTTCAGTAAAAAATGTTAGTAAAATTTACTTCGGATTTTGTAAAATTTACCAACTATTAAAAATTATTTACAGAATAACTTTTACCATTAACAAAGGATATTTAAAAAAATTTATTTCAGTTATAGTAAAATTTACACTGGAAAAAATCATTTTTAATAACAAATATTGTACTACTTTAAAAAAGAAAATTTAAAAAAATTTTATACAAAAATGTGGCAATTATAAATTTTGCTATTAGAAATTGTTAGTTTAAGATTAAACTTTACAATATCCAAAGTAAATTTTAATTAAAATAAGTAAAATATACATACAACTTAGTAAAATTTATTCTGGAATCATAATTTAATTTGGCAGTTTAATTTCATATTCCATAAAATAAAAAATAATTACTTCTGAATTATTTTATAGAAAAACAAATTTTTATTCATGAAAAAGGGGTTAATGTTATTTATCAGAAAAATTGAATTTTATTTATTTTTTATCAAGATTTTTGAAAATAGTTGAATTTTATCGAACAATTTTACTAAAACTTTTAAAAATGATTGAATTCTTTCGAGAAATTTTATAAAAATTGTATTTTAAAAACAATTAAATTTCTGCGAATAAGATAGGGGAATGTAGTCAAGGTTGGTCTACTGTCTAGGTAGGCCATCGCGATTTTTTGGACAAGTTCACTAGCGCCACCTACGCGCATGCTTGTCGAAGCTTGTCTTAGTGTAACCTAACTTGTTGTTCAATTACATTTTCGGAAAATCGAAAATTGTGTTTTCTGTGACGTCGGTACAAAAAAAGCTCAAAAAAAGTTTTGTACATAATGTGAAAAACCATTAATAAAAGATAAAAAACAAATTGAATCGTCAAGGCAAGTATGCAGAAAATTTGTGGGACTCATGGTTGAAAGAAAAACAAAGTAAAAAATCGAATCCCGAAACGTATTTCTTTATGGTTACAACAATTCGGTAATGTTACTTACTGTCAAGGTCGGCCACTATGTGTTTAAAATGCGCAAAGATGAGGACTAGCTACTTCATTTGCAAAAACTGCAATTCTGTATAACTCATAATATAATTGATCATCTTATTAATATTTTTATTTAATTTTATTAATATTTTAGTGCAAAATTTTTTTTTATTTATATTTATTTTTTTATATTGTTTATTGTTATTATTTTGTTATTTCATTAAGTTACAAACTGTAAACAATAAAGAATCAATTTTCCGTAACTCCAAACATGCTATTTTATTTTTTAACGATTAATGCCCTTTGAATTTTAAACATGGCCGACCTTGACTGTAATGGCCAACCTCCACTACAAATTTTTTTTTTTTAAATCTTTATAACTTTTTCATTTTAAAACCAATCAATTTACTTTGTACAGAAAAGATGTTCCTATTAAACAGGACTTTCCAACCATATACTTCAATTGTCCAAATTCATTTTTAAAAAAAAGTTATAAACAAAAGTCAAAAAGGTGTCCGACCTAGACTATGTTCCCCTATTTATTATTTACGAAAATAATTTAATTCTTGCGAATACTTTCTTTTTTAAATAATTCAATTGTTTCAAAGAATTTTGTTTAAATTTTTTAACTAAATTAATTTATTCTTACTTTCACTTACAAAATTAATTTTTTCACTTTTGCTGTTACTTACACCAAAACTAAAATTATTTTCTTCTTCACTAGCACTTAAACTTTCACTTTCAATTGTATTAAAACTAAAATTAATTTTATTTTAATTGTATTAAAAATAATTGAACTCTTATAAAAAATTTTATTAAAATTGTATTGAAAACAATTGAATTTCTGTTAATACCCAGGCGCGAGCTGACAGTGAGTTCAGGCTTTACGAAGCTTGATTGTGGCTTCGTCAGTATTGGTTGAAGATTGGTGGGACAGCGAAAGCAAGGCTGCTTCAGTCCGGAATAGTAACACCGATGTAAACCTGACGCTCAGTCTTTGTTGAAGACTGGCGTTCAATCTTCAATCAATGCTGCGGAAGCCGAAAGCAGGACTGAACAAGACTGCTTCCACTGTTCCCAAATTTACACGCTTCTCACGCGTTCATTCAATATAACGTGAATATATTAATTATTATTATTAATATTAAACAGTATTGTTATTAATATATATGTATTTACATATTTAATGACAATAAGTTATTATTATAATAATTATATTATTTTCATATAAATATCATATTACTAACAATAAATGTCATTTAACATAATAATATTGAAAAATAATTTTAGCAAAAAAAGACAATTTGTGATAATTGGTACATTTTTTAACTTCATTTTTAACAGACTTTTAATATTATTTACAAACAAGTTCACAAGTTTTTATTCACAACACTTATTAATTATACAGATTAAATAGTAATTTTATTATTTTATGTAACCGCTTATAATGAAAAAATCCGCTCGCATGTGGAATCGAACTCACGTCCCCCCCGCCCCAGACGCATTCCGGAAGTCCTTGACGCAACCACTTAAACCGCACGGCCACTGAGTCTCGATGAGAACTCGGGACAATCTAATATATTAATGCCAGTGCCGTATATTTTGTTACTTATAAGGGCAAAGTGAAAACTATGACTAAAAATTTTACACATACTAATCCTGAATTATTTTAATTATTAAAAATAAATATTAAATAACTCATAATAAAATTATAATCATTACAAAATTCAACTTTTAAAACATTTTAAAATTAAAAATATTTAATGAATAATTTAATAAACATCGATAAATAATTGATATTTTTTATTATTCAGTAACAAAATTATTAACATTATTTATTATTAGATATATTAATAATATATTATTTAAATAAATATAATTTGGAATAATAATGAATTATAATGTTAAATATTGTAATTGTTAATTATTATAATAATATTTATTAATTGAATAATAATTATTAATAATTATGATAATTAATTAATAAATAATAATTAATTAATTAAATTAATATTAAAAATTAACATAATTAATAAAATTATTAAATATGATGCAGTGTCAGGAATATTTATTGCACATTTTAATTATTATTTATTAATTATCTATAATAATTTTGAAAACATTTATAAAAAAAAAATTTCCCATTTAACTTTACAATTAATAATATATTTATACTAAATAAACATAAATATTTATTTATCAATTAATAACTTAATGTTAATTATTATTATTATTATTTGAAACAATTATTATAATTATAATTATTATAATATTATTTAATTAAGTGAACACGGTAATAAATAAAGATAAACTGAATATTGTGTAAAGATTGATTCAAGCTTGAATCAAGATTAGATGTTCGAGCTTCACACATAAAGATTGACCGAGTCTTGAATCGAGCATGGGACGAGCATTGGGCCCAATGTTGAACCAATATTGAACTAATATTGAGTGACAGTGATGTAAAGCCTGCTTCTACTGTGGGTTACCCACACTGAGCGTTCAAGACTCAATCAAGGTTTAATTTATTGTCAGCATTGGTCTTTCGCGCCTGGGCTATTGTTTTGGAAATTATTGAATTTCTGGGAAGAATTTTATTAAAATTTTTAAAAAAATTTGATTCTTTCGAGAAATTTTATTAAAATTAGATTGAGAATAATTAAATTTTCGCAAAAACTTTTACTATTTACGAAAATACTTGAATTTCTGACAAAGAATTTTATTATTTATGAAAATAATTGAATTTTTAGAGGAATGTTATTAAAATTGTATTGAATAATTACAATTCTTCAAAAGATTTTATTGCAATTTTTAAAAATAATAATAATTAATTAGTTAATACGATAATAAGTGAATTTAAAAAAGTTTTGAATCTTTATTTATTCAAAAAATTAAAGTTGATATTTGAAAATAAAATAATTTGCCTAACGCACGTTGTGCGCGTAACATTTGCTATAGAATAAAAATTCTAAGAAGTAGAAAAATAATTCTAATTCTAATTCTAGAAGTAGAAAAAATTCTTCAAAATAACTAAAGAAAAATTCTAACTTACAAAAAAATGATAATTTTTGTAAATTTTTCTTTGTTAAAAATATGGGAAAAAAGGGAGATTATTCATAAGTTTAGATGTTTTAGGAACATAAAGTCTCCCTTTTTTCCCTTTTTAACCCTTCAATTAATAAATAATTAAAGGGGCAAAAAAGAAAAAAAAGGGAAATTAGTTTAAAAAAAAGGGGATTAACTATATATATGATAGAAATAATCTTTCATGAAATCAGACATTAAATAAGACTTGAAAACGTGACAATAAAAAGCTTAAGGGAATTTGCTTACACGATAAAGTGCAAACAACGTCGGAGCGAAATCAATTATTGTGTTGGGAGAGAGAAATGGGAGTTTATTTTCACAACTTACTTGTGCGAGTCGCAGCACTTTGGCGGACGGTATTTCCAGCACTGGAGGGTCGTTGACAGGCGTCACGTTGACATTCAAGGAAAATCTCAGCCGCCCTTGAAGATAACTGGGTAATGTGTATCCAGCATAACCTGGCACAAGTGTCACTTCTAACACCATATTATCCTCCGTTGTCTCACTACCATCGTGTACATATTGTATCTGGAAAAAAGAATTAAAAGTACAAATGGTTAGAAAAATATATTTTTAAATTATATATGTGCCATATGCGAAAAGTGCGGCCAACTTAAAGCACAACTTTGAATCTAAGTGTCATAAATTTACCGCAGTTTCTTCTTCCCTCTAAAACTTAAACTGCGCCATTAACCCGAACCCGCGAAGCGCAACTCTACCGCGCGTTAAACTTCAGAGGGAACACATTACAAATTTTCTCACGCCTTTATTTTCCTTTTACTACACTTTGTTTCTGCTTCTATTATAATAAGAGAATTTCGTCAATTTATTCATTGTCATTTCTAATAAAAATGAGAAGAAACCAAACAAAATTTCATTTATTCATGGAAAAGTGATGAATATTTTGGAACTAAAATTATTAAATTAAAATGAACTAGCAACTTTTTAATATCTTTTTTAAAATAAAATTAGCAATTTTAAAAATAATAGAATTTAAAAATATTCTAATTTAAATTTTTGTTGAAAACACTACAAAAATTCAATTTTGGAAAAATCACAAATAATTGCAGAAATTTAATTATTTTCAAAAAAAAAAAAAAAAATATCAAATTCAACTATGTTCAAAATTTGAAAAAATTCTATTTTAATAAAAGTTTCACAGGAATTCAATTATTTTCATAAAAAATAATTTAAAATTCTAGAAAATAATAATTGAATTAAAATGATGAAAATAATTTTGATGAAGTTAGAGTAACAATATTCTTATATATAATATAAAATAATGATTTTATCTCACGGTCATCTTTAATTATTATAAAAAATGAAGAAATCGATCACTCCGAGTCGCAGATTTGGAGTAATCGATATCTTCATGTTTTATGACAATATTTTTAAAATTGTTTAATTTAAAAAAGGTTTGAATTTGAAATTTTTGAATGTCTTAATTCCTGTGGAAAATCCTGTTCCAAAAATAAGATTAAAAATAGGAATTGTGCAAATATTTTTCTTCTTTTTCTAAAACAAAATAATAATTTTGTTAAAAAAATTGATAATTTCGAAAATCTTTAATTGTAAAATTATTCTGAACGTCAACAGTTTTTTTAAAAATAAATATTAATTATTATTATTATAATTTTTCCACAGGAATTAAGAATTTAAAAAATTTCAATTTTCATCCTTGAAATTCAATCATTTATTTAAAAATATTGCTATTGTAACTTTTCCAAAAATTTTTTCAAGATTTCTATTTAATTATTTTCTGGAATTTTTAACTAAAATTTTTCTCTAATTCAATTATTTTTAATATTTCTTAAGAAAGTTCTTTAAAAATACAATTATTTAGGTTAAAGAAAAAAAAAGTTTACCAAAAATATTTCTAAACTCCAATTGATTACAATTTAATTTCATGAAATTATAACAATTTAAAAAATTTTCAATTAAATATATATTATTTAAAAATACAACTAATTTCAAAGAAATTTGAATAAAAATATTTCAAAAAACTAATTTCTGCAGAATTTTTAATTAAAATTTTTAAATAATAAACTTTCCTAAAATTTAGTTGGAGACTTTTTGAAATTCAATCTATCTGAATAATATTAGTAATATTAATTTAAAATTTTAAAAATATAAACATGGTTACTTAGAAATTATTGTAGGAAAACTAATTAATTTTAATGCAAAATACGGTTTTTTTTTAAATATAATTTAGAAAAACAAAATTTTATTTATTTTAATGTTCTTGGTCTCTGGTAGAATTAAAAAACTAATTTTTTAAAAATTCATATTAGTTTCGTTCTAATTAGTTCAAATATTTACTAATTCACATTAAAAGAATAATTTTTATGATATCTACAAAAAAAATTTTAGAAATTAATTTGTTTTCTACAATTTTGCGTAAATATGTTAATTTTCTTCTATTTTAAAACATTATATATTGAAAACAATTGAATTCCAGAGAAGACTTTTATTATACGTATATGAAAATAATTGAATTCTTGTAATTTTTTTCAACGAATTTAATTCAACTCGTATTGAATATATTTAAATTCTTGTATAGCATTTTATTAAAATTTTAATAAAAATAATTATTAATATCGTGCGAAGAATATTAATATTTTTATATTACTTTTTGTAATTTTTGTAAATTTTATAATTTATAATCTGAAATAATTTCATTTTTGGACAGGATTTTATTAAAATTTTTGAAAATAATTTAATATAGGTGGTATTATTGCGAAAGAAATTTGGAAATTAATTTACTTTTCATTATTTTGCGTTAATTTGTGAAAAATTTTCTATTTTAAAAGATAACATTTTTGCTAACTTTTTATATTAATTTTTATATTACTTTTTGTTATATTTGTAACTTATTATAATTTTTAATCTGAAATAATTTAATTTTTGGATATAGGATTTTATTAAAATTGTTGAAAATAATTTAATTGTTTTGAAGAATTTTATGAAAATTTCTGTGAAAAAATTAAATTCTTTAAAAATATTTGATTAAAATTGTATTAAAAATAATTTAATTAAATTCTTTCTATTATTTTATTAAAATTATACCTATTGAAAATAATTTAATTCTTAGAAATTTTCTCCATGAATTTAATTAAAATTGTATTGAAAATAATTCAATATGCAGAATGTCAATAAAATTTATTAAAAATAGATGAATTCTTACGAAAAATTTTGTTAAAAAAACTTGTATTGAAAATAGTTGAATTTTGTGCGAAGAATTTTATTATCTTTTTTGAAAATAATTGAACTGTTTTGAAGAAATTTATTCGAATTTAATTTTTTAAATTTTGACAGTCTTTCATGAATTAAATTATTTAAAATGAATTCAAAAATTCAATTATTAAAATTATTATTAAAGTTCAATTATTGTCAGAAATAGAAAGAATTTAAAACTAAATCAAATCTTTCCAATATTTTTAAAAGCTGCTGGACAACAAAATTCAGAATTTTCTTTTGAATTCTAGAAATTGATTATTTTTCCAGTATTACTTTTGATAACATTTCCTGATTTTTCCCTGATCTGTGGGTAACTCTGATTATTAAAAAAATGTTGCATTCTGGATATCTGTTTTTTCTAGTAATAATAAATAAAAAACAACGCGTTTAAAAAAAATTTGCAATTATTTCCAAAGAAATAAAATATTATCAAAAGATCGAAATTAAATTAAAAATAGTCTCAATTTTCGAGCAGCAATCTCGAAACTGAATTCGAAGCAGGAATTGAATTTATTATCTAACAAGTTGCGCGAAACTTCCGGTCCAGAAAATAGCAGATGTATCCGAAATGGATTAAATGGAAGAAATAAATCCGTAAGAAAGTTATTAATGCGCAAGGGAAATTTGTTCATTTAAACTCGAAGGTTATCTACAATTACACGTTGATTAAAAAATAAAATTAAAAAATTATTTCAATTTTCTTATTTCATTAAACTTGTATAAACATTTTTTCTCTTCTATAAATTAGCGTAAATAATTATCAAAACATGAAAAAACTTCTATTGAATTAAATTTCTCAAAACCAATTTACTGTATTTTTTAATTTTTTTTTTTTTATGAATGGTCTTCTCCTTTAATTTTCCTCAATTAAAACCAGATGCTCGTTTATTCAACTTTTCATTGGAAAATAAAAGAGGAAGCAAGGAAAAAAAGAACACTAACCCCCCACAAAAGTTAAATCTCTCTCTCTCTCTCTCTCCCTCTTTAAAAATATGATTTCAAATTAATGTCTAAAACTCCATTTATATTCTTGAGTGAAAAGAAATATGGACCTATATTGAAAAGATATTTTTCACTGTGAACTGAATCATAAAACAATTATTAGTTTATGAAATATGTTTATTACATCAATGCCATTAATTAAAAAATATTAAATCTATTCATTCGAATATCTGCATTATATTTATTTGTTATATTATATTATTGAATTCAGAAATTTTAAATAATGGAACAATCACTCTCTAAACAATAGATGCGGAAACATTTAAAGTATAACGAGAAACAAGAATAATTAACATAAATATAATTATAGTAGTAAATACTATGATATTTACATATACAATAAGAATAAAGAAATCTAGATATAAATAAAAAGTAATAAAATATTAGTGAAAAAATAATTTCTTGATGAATAAAATGAAAAATTTAGAAAAATTTGTAAACAGTTTTTTTTTGTTTTCTGTTTGTAAAAAAAAATGTCTATTCTTTCAGTAGTTGATTATAAACGTTATGAACTTTTACTGACGTTAATGTAATGGTGTATAAAAATTATAACTATTTTTTAAGCCAATTTGAATATATTTCAAAAAATCGGAAAAAAAATATTGCACATACTATAGAACTGAAAGCAGAAAAGAATATTAAAAAAATGCAAATTAAAAAACAAAAAATTCAATTATATGTACTTGATGTTTGAAATAATTCAAACAAAAGAAAAACATAAAATACGGACCCTAATTTAGTAGTATAACTAAAAATAAAATATTGTGAGAAAAAAAAATTTTTTTTTTACCTCCTGCCCACACTGATAAAAAGTGATCTAAATTGCTGCATGAGACACACGCATGTTTTTTTTTTCTTATATCTGTGAAATATATTTTTGTGTCATCGTCGGAGACTCATGAAAGGAAGCGATGACAAGGGAGTACTTGACTAATTGGGCACATCGAGCACAGGCCGGTTTACATTTCAATCAATTGGGTCATTTCTTTGAAACTCGGGGATAAAAGGTTTTTGTTATATAGTGAATCTGCAGATCGCAATCAACTAGGAAGTAGATTATGTGTAGACACGACGCGTCGCGCGCCGGGTCGACGAGCCAAAACAGATGCGTGTATGTGATAAGTATACGTACATGAGATGGGAATAAGGGTCATGAGCTTTACAGTTCGTCATAGGATATACATAGTTTAGGAACCAGAAATACTAACTTTAGATCCATAGCTAATGCAGTCCGTCTCAACTAATATATATACGCTCTAGGATTTTCCCTCTTTTCATTTTAGATAAAT